AAAAGAAAACAGCCCCTCCCAGGGCCCTGAGAAACACGGCCATGCTTTCCAACCCCACGGTGTGTGAGCGGAGTGACAGACCTGTCCCAGCAGCACTCGCAGCCCCGGCGTGCCCCCGTGAGGAAGAGCACACGGCCAGCACGCCTCCAGCAAGGGGAGCTCTTGAAGAAACTGAGAAATGGAACTAGCGCTGTAGGAAGTGTCTCCGTTGTGCAAACATTTGAACGCGGCCGCGGCTTTCGTTTCCTGCCACGTGTTAAAGGCCTGACGAATCTCCTCATGTGCCCCTGGAGCGCTCTGGGCGGGGCCGGGGGCCGCTGGCTGTGGGATTGGGCTGGTCTCTGGGTGAAGCAGGTGCAAGCTGACTCAGGGGCAGGGTCCGTTGCTGAGTCCCCCAGCACCGAGCAGTCCTGGCCCAGGACTGGAGCTCTAGGCCCTACCGTCGTTCAGGTCTGTTCTCCGCTGAAGAGGCCTCACGGCTGGGTCAGAGCCTGTTTGCACACGTCCCGCCCTGGGCTGTGCGCAAGGGGACCAGGCCCCTCAGCTCAGGGGCAAGGCCAGAAGCTGCATCCAGCTTTGCATGCGGCAGCCACTCCCTCACGGCTGGGTCAGAGCCTGTTTGCACACGTCCCGCCCTGGGCTGTGCGCAAGGGGACCAGGCCCCTCAGCTCAGGGGCAAGGCCAGAAGCTGCATCCAGCTTTGCATGCGGCAGCCACTCACCGTACGCTTCCATTGCAGGCACGGGACGGACCTGGTTGTGAATAGGCACGTCGGTCACCTCCTGCGCACCAAGGCCGTTGAGCATGCAGATGGCGGCGTGGCGGCTGGGGTGGCCGTACTGGATACCCCCTATCTGGTGTGAAGAGGACAGCTCCCACTGTGCTGCTGGGCAGGGCTGGCATTTCTGTTGGGGATTGTTTGATACAATCAGGGCCCCAGGGTGTTCCCCCTCCTGGCCATGGAACGGGCCAGCTCCTTTTATGCCACCTCCTCCCCTTGAAAGACTTGGCTTCTCCACGGGTCTTCTAAATGTCACATTCCCTAAGCCACCGCCCCGTCCCCACCCTGCACCGGCAGCCAGCTGTGCATGCCACACTGAAGTGGCTGGAGTAGAGCTGAGGCTCGCCTGGCGATCAGAGCTAGGAGGTGACAGCTGCCTGGATGTGCCTTAAGTGCCTGGTCCAAAGGCTTAAATGTGCCTTGGTTTGAGCTTGTGCTCTTCCACACTCTGCTGCTCAGGGGGTTGCTGCGGCTCAAGGCTAAATCTAGGGCAGCGGGAGAGCAGCTCGGTTTCACAGAGAGGGAGCATGGATCTGGGAGCAAGGCCTGAGCCCTAAGCCCTCAGCAGGCTGAGTGGAAGTCAGGTCTCCTACCCGCTGCCTGCTTCTGGAGTTGGTACATGAGCTTAGCCAAGGCAGCCCTAGCTGTGCTGAAACACTGGCCCTAATGTAAAGCCAGGACTCCCTGCCCCCCGCGCAGTGTAAAGGCAGCAGGCTAGAATGATCAGCCCAAAGGCCCATCCAGCTGTGTCCTGTCTGCCCACAGTGACCAAACGCAGGTGCCCTAGAGGGAGGGAACCCCCTGTGAGCCCTCCCCTGGCCCCCATTCCCAGCTTCTGGTGAACAGAGGCCCAGGGCCATCCCTGCCCAGCCTAGCTAAGAAGCACGGGGGTTTGCTGAAAGCAGCAGGTACAGGGTTGTGGGTGGGTAACGAGCCAGGTCCCAGTGTAATGTAACTTGGCTGGAGCAGTGAATAAAGGAGAAAGGCCTGGTGGCAGCAGGGGAGTCCTGCTTACTGCGCTGAGCCCTGGGTGCGGGGCAGTCGTGTGAGCAGCCAGCCCCTCAGTGGGTCTGGGTCAGGCGGTGGAGGGCTGCTGGCCCAGGGCAGAGTGAGCCTGGGCAGCCCACAGCTGGTCTGCTAAGAGCCTGTTGATCCCTTCTCCGCACACACTGGGCCCTGAGTAAAGGGGGGGCGTGGCCTATGCCAGGCTGGGGCGGTGCTAGTAGCCTTAGCCCATTTTGAAAACCAAGATTTGCTGTTTGAAGGTGTTGCCCTGGCAATGGTGCAGGGGGTCTGGCTCGTGGTAGAAGAGGGCAGGCTGCCTGGGCACCGTGGTACCTTCTGGGACGGCACAGGCTGTTCCAGGGGCCTAACACACTGAGCAGGTTAGGCTAGTTAACAGCTTGACCCAAGCTAATCCAAGAGGGCGCCCCTGAAACACTGCTCCAGCCACATGCTGCAGGGAGAGCCACGGGGGCTCGCTTGCTGCTGCCTTCGGCTGTAGGTAAGCCGGGCTCGTCGCTGCCCTCGCACGCAGGAACGGCTGGGCCCACACGCCACAAGGGGCGATGTTGGCTAGTGGGTGGGCTGGTAGCGAGTGAGACCAGCGCCATGTCACAGCGAAATGGGGGCCCTGAGTTACCACGCGAGGAGGGACCATTCAAGGGGTGGTGGCCTGCACAGGGAGCCTGTTGTTACCGGGTTACCGCTGGTTGTACTGAGCTGTAATCTGGCAGCTGGCCCGTCCATGAGTGTGCCCGCCTAGCAGCTGTTTAACCCCCCAGGCTCATCTTGCCGAGGGGCCGATACAGAAGTGTTCACCCGCAGGTGCCTTGGGTGGGTGGGGCCAGCTGTGGGGGGTTCAGCACGGTTCGACCCCACCCCACCCGCCAGCCCCTGCAACCCTGAGCACAGCAGCACCTGCCCACATGTCAGTGTTCACTCAGGGGCCCTGCCACAGGCCAGGTGCTGAACGCTCCCTCCAGGGCCAGGCCTGGTTTCAAGTTGCACCTTCCTAGGGCAGGGCCAGGGCAGCTGAGAGGGAGGCAGCGTCTTGGCCAGGGATGCAGCAGCTGGCTTGGGAGTGTGT